AGATGTTGTTAGGATAGCTAACTACGTAATAACTTGAGACATATGGACCCTTAAGTAGGGACTGAATAAATTAACCGACTTGGTATTACATGGATCTCACAACTTTTTACGGTAGAAGAACTGAGTTGCAAGACTTGATTTTTTTACAAGTTATGTTTTTGATGGCATCTCATTTCTTTTTGAAGATAGTTATATCTAGGTACCTATCTACACCTATTATTCCATTATATTATACATATACAGGTACAATGACACTGCAAATGTAACTTTGTAATCCTATATACTTATATGGGATTACAAAGTTAATTATGCAGTAGATGTATCTAGAAAACTGGAACAAAATTGCAAAATAATTTAGTTTTTCCTTGATATATACACTAAACACTAATTGTATTCTAAATTTGAAGCTTCTATGTCTACTAGAAGTGCCTTAGAGTTTTGATGATCGGTCAGTCAGTGAGTGACAAAATTAAGAAACTTTGACTAGTTGAGTTAGTTTAAAATATTAGTTCAAATTGAATTGAGATTTGAAATATACCGTGTTTATATAATGCCTGCTTGGTTACTGAAAATTTAGGCATCTAGTTTTATCCACAACGAAGTTATAGGGGGTCGAAAATGGCCTAAACTGCTTCGAGAAAAGGATGGTACGGCCGTGCCGCTTTTTTGCTCGACTTGGCGGGGGCACTGCCGTGCCCCCAGATATATTAAATTTTGTAGATTCCATCCTTAATCCATTTGGCTCTAATCGTGAATATTTCATTATTTATCACAAAGTAACAAACATTCTTTCACCCAGAACCTTATTTTTTACATTTATTTTTATTTACATCACCGTAAATGTAGAATATTACAGAACGAATGATTCATTTAAACTTGATAGAACTATTGAGGTATCAGTAGTGTAGTTGTACCACTTCTGGACCACCTGAGTCAGAAGCGATTCAACGACGTTCGTCGACACACGATCCTAAAAAAAAGAAAAGGTTTTGGCATGCTCTGATCACGAATCTGCGGTTCATTTTTGTTAGGTTAGGTTAGGTTAGGTGTCCATATGAATCAAAATATTGACCGAAGTCATTCGTATCGATATATAAAGCTACCCAATGTGACCCTGGTTTATCATCTGTATCCAAATTACATATTATATACGTTGGTACGTGGGTATACATAGGCAGTCTATTAGCTGCATAAACATTATTTTCTAGACTGGGGTGAATCTTTTTCAGATGTTGTTGTACATCTAGTGTATCCATGATATTACTGCTATTAGTAGATTATTACAGTACCATTGAGTAGCAATGAATAACATAGGAATGGTCAATTATAGTGATTTCTAAATATTAAATTGCATTTTTGTGTTATACAAATCGTACTTGAGTCATTGATCACCAAACAAAACACAATACGAAGAAATGTTGAGATAGGCAACGGAAATGTGAAATAAACTGATATGTTTCTAAATATTAAATTGCATTTTTGTGTTATACAAATCGTACTTGAGTCATTGATCACCAAACAAAACACAATACGAAGAAATGTTGAGATAGGCAACGGAAATGTGAGATAAACTGGTTGACGCATAAAGTAATTATCAACTCATTACGGAAATACTTTAGATTAGAATTTTTACGTACTGGTGGTATATAAGACCAACAGACGCAGTCATCGAGTTAGTGTACGGTCGTTTGGCTACAGTGGATCTATCAATAGTACATTTGTGTTACTTCAATACACCAAAGGCTATGGATGTAAGTGTTTATTCTATTGACTAAATTACTTTTTTTCTGTTATTTTCATGCGTGTGTATTATTTTATTTAAATATTGTGTATGTATATGATTAAGCCGTGGTAACTCAGATGGTTAGCGCTAGCTGTAAATTTCACAGTACGCGACCCGGGTTCGATCCCCGCCAGCACCAATTAAATTGTTAATCGCAATTTTAAGTGCTTATTACCACGTGCTTGGTGGTGAAGGAAAACATCGTGAGGAAACCTGCATGTCTGAGAAAATTTCGAAGGCATGTGAAGTTCGCCAACACACATTGAGGGAGCGCGGCGGACATTTCCTTGCTCTAAAACCCTCTCAGAAATGAGAGGAGGCCTATGTTCAGCAGTGGACTTTAATAGGCTGTAACTTTAACTTTTTTAACTTTTATGATTAAGTGTTAACAAATTGATATTAACATGATAACTGTGTTGTTGCAGAAATCATTGAGCTTCGATGAAGATACCTATAAACAGTATTACTACTCGCTACTCTCCCCTCAAGAAGAGAGTGATGACCTCGTCATTAATAATAACACATGCGATGGTGGAAAAAGAAAATCGCAATCGATTGATCATTTTTTTGAAGCTGAATCAAAAATAAAAAAGAGGAAGGGAAAACTTCAGTGAAGTGTGCACCAGTGCTTTTTTCTCCACAATCATCGAAGAGAATACGGAACTATTCAATAGCGAATTAAATCAGGAGTTGTCTAAAGTTTGTGAAGAAATGGAGAGGGGTCAACTGTTCGATTCGTCATACGATGATGAGTTGTATCATCACTGTGCGATGGTTGAAACACAGTTTAAGTATGTAAAATAAACATTCATTTCGATCATAATTTAATCCAAACAACGGAAGCAGAAGCGCATACCTCTGCAGGGAACAGTATCAGTAACGATGATCAAGTGGAATGTCCAACGTGCCATATATTTATCAAGAAACGGTATTTAGCTAATCATTTTAAAAGTAATGTTCATAAAAATAATCTTTTAAATTCACATAATTCTTTATCAAACGTTAGTGCTATTGCATCTGCTTTTGGAAATAGGATTTTAACTTATAAAATCAAGAGTAGAGTAGATCGTTCGACATGGGTAAATTTTGAAACTCCTGAACTATTTTTAAATTCTATTAAATATGATATTTTATTGTTATTACAAGAGTGTATTCATCAACACATAATTTTTAAGGTAAACTTCATATTGCATGCTGATTTTGTTCAACAAACTAAAGATATTCATGATACGTTCGATTTTCAAACGCTTAACTATATTATTTGTCAAGGAGATGACTTAAATATTTTTCTTTCATCTTTAAATGATACAATTACTACTAAAATTAGTGCTTTCGAAAAAAAAGATAGTGGATGGAGTCTAAAAAACATAAAATCTATAGACATGAATGTTAATAAATTTAACCCCCTAAGCGGTACTTCATACATAGATCTTCCTCGTGACATAAAATTAAAAAAGGCTGTTATAAATGTAAAAAACAAGGATTATTTTTGTTTTAAATGGGCGTTACTCTCGGCGTTATATCCCGTAAACAAACACACCGATCGGGTATCATCGTACGTTAAACATGCAAATAAACTTAAATTTGATGGTATTTCCTTTCCGGTTAAAATTTCTGACATAGGAAAAGTAGAGAAACTAAATGATATTAGTATTAATGTTTTTGGGTTAGAATATAATAAAGAAAAACGATGTAATTCTATAGTAGGTCCATTATTTTTAACAAAGTGTCGTAAAGATAGACATATCAATTTATTATTTTTTTCCAAGGATACAAAAAATCATTATTGCTATATAAAAAATTTATCGCGGTTAGTTAGTAAACAAATTTCAAAAGACGGTCACATCATGTACATTTGTGAAGCATGTCTACTTCGTTTTCCATCTCAGGAAAGGTTAAATAACCATGAACAATACGATTGTGCCCACATTTGTACAGTATTACCAAACAGTGAAACTTTAAAAAAAAGAATTGGTTTGGTCAACCTATTTCAAATGATAAAATTAAATTTGATAGTTATGAAAAAAAGTTAATACAGTTAATTTCTTCTTCATCACACGTTTTAAGTAATGCTCTTTGATATTTTGGTTTAAGCGTATGCAAAGCGGTTAGCAAATGTTTATACGTTGTGAGTCGACGATGCATCATTTAGCAATGATTTCAATTGTTTGATTCTTGGTGTATTTAAACTCTTTTGTGGGGACGTAGACTGTACAGAAACCATTAAATGGAAAGACATTTGTCTTGATACGACAAAAATCATTGGTATTCTGTTTTAAATCTACCATTAAATATCCATGCGCTTCTAGAGTTGCATCCCTGTAGGCATCTTCAATGAATTTTGGGTTATCTGGTGATAATTGTCTTGCTAAATATCTTATTTGAGTTTTATCTCGAGGGTTTTTAAAATATATTATATAACTTGAGTTTAAAGATATGTCTCTTTGTCCTTTACCCTGATGAAATAAATTTTGTGTTAGATAAAATACACTAAGATTTCTGTGATGACTACCTTTTGTAAATATATCCACAATTCTTCCATCGGACTCTCTCATTAGATCATCAATAATAACAAGATGTGGGTTTTCACCATCAAACATATTAAGATTTGGAATTCCTTGATGATAGTTAACATTTGGTAAATTATATAATGGTTGCATTTCATCAAAGCACCATGTGATCTGATTAAAATCACAATTACATATTTCTGTAACTGATTTTATGAAATTTGTTACAAAATTTGACTTCCCACACCCACTTGGTCCTGCCACAATAGCAGTGAACGGATGGATAAAGTGAAACATAACACACGTCTAAAGTTCAAAGGGGTGAAATAAAAAATGAAAGTGTTGGTGTAAACAATTAATATATATTCCAAAAATTATATAAAACGGAATTATCTATATACTATTTCTAACACAATTAGTACATCATAATTTTACAATTAACTCAACCTCAAATAAATAGAAACAACAATTAGTACATCATAATTTTACAATTAACTCAACCTCAAATAAATAGAAACAACAATTAGTACATCATAATTTTACAATTAACTCAACCTCAAATAAATAGAAACAACAATTAACTTAAATTATTTACAATAAAACAATGATTAAATATGTAATAAACTACGTCATATTATAGTATTATCATAATTTTACAATCAATATAAATTTTTCTTAAACGCAGACATAAAAGTAAAAACTATCAACACTTAACGCAGTTTATAATGACCCCAAGCTAATGTTTCAATATTATTATCTAAAATATGTCTCTTTGTGTCATTATATGATAAACCTATCTTATTTAATTTTTGTGTGAAAATTGTGTGTTTAATTGATTTAAATCTAAGCATACTATAATATTGCACTTTTTTATTAAATAGAGAAGACTTATAACTATTCATTGTCATGTTTTTAGTGATACATTTATTTACCCCTTTTGCATTGGCTATAGTCTTATTCTCTAAGTTAAAAGCGTACATTTTGGATCGTAAACCCACAAATTCTTTCATGATTTTACCATTATTTTCATCTTTAAAAAAACCTAATTTCTTTTTATTTAATTTTGGATATTCAAAAATATTATTTGTATCATAATCTGAGGTATCAAAGTATGATGAAAGGTCAGGTTTTATATCAATGTAAAAATCATTTGTAAATATATGATATATTAAACTATCCGTATCTGTATACAATAATTTGATTTTACTAAACTTTTTAATCATATAGTTATAATGAAAATCATACATTAATATTTTTGAAATATCTAAAATGCAAAACCCTAAATAATTTGGTTTGTTATATATTAACTTCGTTTTTCGCAACTGAACCGCAACTAGGTTTTCCGAAAATATTGAAAGGCTATGAAATTGTGGTTTAGCGATTAGATCTTGAGCACCTAAAGCTTTACCCTGGTTCTCCCAGTGCGTAACTAATTTTATGTTAACCCTTTTTTCAATATTCTCCATAGTCTTACCGAAGACTGAATTATTCATTAATTTATAAAAATCTTTTTCGAAATCTGATTTTGCTAAAGTTCTTAATTTTGTGTTTAGATCTATGTACATCTTCAACCAGGGAGACTGTTTAAATTTTAAAACTCTATGAATTTTAGTTAATTTAACCCCCATTTCTATGCACTGCTTTAAATTTCTGTAATGAATTACATATTTATCTTTATTATTTAAATTTGGGACTAGTTTATTCTCATTAATATTGCCTACACAAATGTTTTCTGGACATAAAGGAAAGTCCGAATGTAAATCATGAAGTTCATCTGGATATTCCAAATCAACTTCTAAAATAAAACCGAAGTCTGATGTCTTAAAAACATTAAATTCTGTATTTGGATTTACCCATTCGAATCCACCAGTAGGAAGATATTGAGACATAGCCCAACCATATAAATTGTTGGCATCAAAATATGTGATATATGAATTTGGTTTCCCTGTATCATAATCCTCCATGTATTTGTTATTAGCTCTAGCATAACGATTACTACATTGAGATACACCACCTCTGATACCTGATCTAATAAATGCAATTTTCTCATAATCTGTTAAAAGTTCTAATTCTATTTTTGTATATTTTAACATTGCATCCCAACTTAAACCGGGTGCTGTGTAATAATGGACAGGGTCTAAATCATATGTATTAATACATAACTTTCTAAAGTTTTCAAATACATCGGATAAAAGTAAAACGTCTGTTTTTAAATACAGGTTTGAATAATCTAGCATATTACAACACCCAAAATGTTCCCAAACATCTTTAGCATGATTGTAATCATCATTTGAAATATGTGAATCTGTGAGCGAACTATAAAAACATTTTTGTTCAGGGAGCGATGTTAGGCTTAAACTATCATAATTAGTCATAAGTTCATATGGATAAACACCTTTCCGTTTTAAACGAAAGAAATCTTCATCATTAGGGTAATTTCTACGTAATTCTTGAAATTGATCATTACTGAGATTTATGGCCAATTCTTCTAATTTACACGATAAAAACTTAAATGAATCTAAGAATCTCAATATAATTTCGTGGTTATTCACTTTTAATTTTTTGGAAAAGGATATATATTTTTCTTTATTTTGAGGGATAACTTCGACTTCACCATCACAAAAGTTTAACGCGTGAACAATAAAATGAGCATCATAGTGACTAAGGTTGTGTAAAAATATTGGTATATAACGAGGTGTTCTGAACTTCGAACAACATGATTCATGAGCAACACCTATAAAACTACCAGTGTATCAATCAAAATCATAAAAATGTTTTGCCAACTCAGTTTCACAAATATGACAAATGGTTGCATTTGAAATTTGGTTTTTGTCTTCATTTGTTAACGGAAGTGGCGGATATTTTTGAAGTCTATTTATTTCTTTTAGATTGTTAGATAAACTTTCCATAAACACTTGTGCACAGTTGGGTCCGCAATATGTTACATATTTTGATAATTTATCATCATATGAACATTTTATATAATATCCAAAACTATGTACTTCATGTTTCTGAATATTACGAGTGAAAGGTTTGGAAGGATCGTTAGAACATGATTCTATTGGTTTTAAAATGCTTCAAAATCAGCATAAACTACGAATGGTATCTTTAACTTTTTTTCATAACTATCAAATGATATTCAGCTCTTGAGTACTGCATACTCTTCTCGTTTTCTTCTCCGCTCAGTGTTGTAGTTTTGTTATTCAATTATGTGTTTTGTACACGTATGCCACACTCATCTCTTCCTTCCGCTCTTGTCTTCCTGTAATTGAAGTAAACAGAATCACATTCACTAATGATCAGCTAATGACTGTCATTGTTAAAAAAGTATTTTTTAACTATTTCACTTTCTGCTATTGTCTTTGTTATATTGTATACGAGGGCGTTTGTGTTGTCGTAGATGCTATCCTTATTAGTCTTTACGTAATATTTAATTCTCGTGGAAGCATGTTTCCAATGATCAGTAGTTGGAATCTTGGATAGCTTCTTCATATCGTACATTTCAATTTTGATGAGATGCATCGCTTGGTCTCCGTCGTCAGAATTAGTAGAAATGTATGATACACCATCTCTAGCGGCTCGTGCTACGGTTGATGATAACAGCTTCCTCTTTTTTATTTTTGATTCAGCTTCAAAAAAATGATCAATCGATTGCGATTTTCTTTTTCCACCATCGCATGTGTTATTATTAATGACGAGGTCATCACTCTCTTCTTGAGGGGAGAGTGGCGAGTAGTAATACTGTTTATAGGTATTTTCATCGAAGCTCAATGATTTCTGCAACAACACAGTTATCATGTTAATATCAATTTGTTAACACTTAATCATAAAAGTTAAAAAAGTTAAAGTTACAGCCTATTAAAGTCCACTGCTGAACATAGGCCTCCTCTCATTTCTGAGAGGGTTTTAGGGCAAGGAAATGTCCGCCGCGCTGCCTCAATGTGTGTTGGCGAACTTCACATGCCTTCGAAATTTTCTCAGACATGCAGGTTTCCTCACGATGTTTTCCTTCACCACCAAGCACGTGGTAATAAGCACTTAAAATTGCGATTAACAATTTAATTGGTGCTGGCGGGGATCGAACCCGGGTCGCGTACTGTGAAATTTACAGCTAGCGCTAACCATCTGAGTTACCACGGCTTAATCATATACATACACAATATTTAAATAAAATAATACACACGCATGAAAATAACAGAAAAAAAGGAATTTAGTCAATAGAATAAACACTTACATCCATAGCCTTTGGTGCATTGAAGTAACACAAATGTACTATTGATAGATCCACTGCAGTCAAACGACCATACACTAACTCGATGACTGCGTCTGTTGGTCTTATATACCACCAGTACGTAAAAATTCTAATCTAAAGTATTTCCGTAATGAGTTGATAAATACTTTATGCATCAACCAGTTTATCTCACATTTCCGTTGCCTATCTCAACATTTCTTCGTATTGTGTTTTGTTTGGTGATCAATGACTCAAGTACGATTTGTATAACACAAAAATGCAATTTAATATTTAGAAATCACTATAATTGACCATTCCTATGTTATTCATTGAGTAGATTGGTACTGTAATAATCTACTAATAGCAGTAATATCATGGATACACTAAATGTACAACAACATCTGAAAAAGATTCACCCCAGTCTAGAAAATAATGTTTATGCAGCTAATAGACTGCCTATGTATACCCACGTACCAACGTATATAATATGCAATTTGGATACAGATGATAAACCAGGGTCACATTGGGTAGCTTTATATGTCGATAAGAATGACGTCGGTCAATATTTTGATTCATATGGACGATCACCTGTACGATATCATCTAGAGTTTTTAAAAAGGAATTGTAAAAGATGGAACTGGAATGTTGATAGGATTCAGAATGAGTGGACTTCAGTTTGTGGCGAATATTGCTTAATGTAGTTACTATATAAGTTTCAAGGATGTTCAATACATAGTTTTACGAGTATATTTACAAGGAACACATTGTACAACGATATTTTAGTGGATGAGATGTTTCGCTCCTATTTTATAGATAATAAGTAATAAGATTTTGTATTTTATAAATAAAAATTGTAACAAAATTATGTAATGTGTTTTATTGATGATTCAGATTAGCGTTGTATAATTAGGAACAAAGAAGTATAATACAATAGCACTGATATAGTCGACGCACACGCTGCAATGAAGGTGATTAATGAACAATAGAACAATAGAAATAGGAACAATGGGACGCTAATGACGGTGGAGGCCCTTACCGGATATCAATTAGATATTAGCTAATTGATCTGCACATCTCCGGAACCGTGCATCCTACGCAAAAATGGACCGCAGATTCGTGATCAGAGCATGCCAAAATCTTTTTTTTTTTTTAGGATCGTGTGTCGACGAACGTCGTTGAACCGCTTCTGACTCAGGTGGTCCAGAAGTGGTACAACTACACTACTGGTATCATAAGAGAAAAAACACAATAACATAAATTGAAAAATTTTTCAAAAAAAGTCGAAAAAGATGGAATTCATCTAGCTATAAACAAAGAAAGACATTTCGTTATCCTCATCATTACTATTCAGATACCCATTAAGGATTTACGTCAGAGGTTTTTATTTGTCTAGGCCTTTTGTAGTTTGATAAACATGCCTTTCTTTACGTCGTAGAGCCACGTAAAGAAAGGCTATCAAAATTTTGATTCTTAATCGAAGATGAATATAGACGTTTATGGGCCACAGCATTCACTTACCATCAGGTGGACTGTATACTCGTTTGTATGTCGCCCTTATTCTATAAAAAAAAAAACCTCCTCATCATTATTTAAGTCTCTCACAAGTCCACTTCTGAACATAGGCCTCCCCCAAATAATGCCACAAACTACGATCCTGAGCCACCTGCATCAATCGACTTCCTGCATGTCTTACTAGGTCAAATGAAACAAATTTTGTTAAACCACAAATCCTCGCAAAAGAATATATATTCCTACCAAGGACGATCCGCGAGGCGATTGAAATTCAAAAAAAACATTCTAATTTCAATGGAGAAGACGGATGGGTGCTGCCATCTGCTTGGGATCCTATAATAAATAAAATTATATCCAATCCCAAGTATATCACTGCAAGACTTCAAGATACTGTAAGCTCAATATGCGTCGATTGGACCGAAAATTAATATTCAAAAACTGAAGGTAGCCGGGCTAATTATGACATCGGGACGTCAAACACCTCAGTCTCACTCGTGACCATGGGTACTGTAAAGCACCCGAAATGTTGGGAATTAAAAAGTTAAATTAAACGCGATAAAATCCGTTAAAATTATTTTCATTTAATGTTTAGTCTTCGCGTAAATATACGAAATGACTATAGCGTCGGCAAATCGAAGGTGAGTGATGTACTCGCCATTGATGTTGATACCGTATCCTTTCCAGTCCAGAAGCTTGAAAACATCTTCCAATGCAGCGGTAAAGAGTTTCGGGGATATGACGTCACCCTGTCTTACACCTCTCTGCAATTATCCAATTGCAGAGAGGTGTAAGAGGTTTCGTACTCTGGTTCTGTACTCGGATAGCCATCGTAGCCCTACTGTACAAGCACTTCAACACTTCGATATACCGACAGTCAACTTGGCATCGCTGAAGGGACTGCAGCACCGCCCAATTTTCGACGGAATCAAAGGCTATCTCATAGTCCACGTACGCCAGACATAGTGGCAAATTGTACTCCTCTGACTTCTGTACAATTTGCCGAAGGGTATGTATGTGATCTATGGTGCTAAAACCTTTTCGGACACCGGCTTGTTCGGGAGGCTGGAATTTGTCAAGTCTGCGCGCGAGACGATTCGTAATGACTCTCGAAAATAGCACGTAGACGCGGCACAGAAGGGAAATCGGTCTGTAGTTCTTCAAGTGAGCGTTGTCGCCTTTCTTGAAGAACAAGACCACCGCACTTATGCTCCACGCCTCCGGTGTAATGCCACCATGGAGGACGGAATTAAAGAGCTTCTGAAGGACTTCAAGTACCGGTTTTCCACCCGCTTTCAGAAGCTCCGCTGTAATTCCATCCTCGCCTGGGGCCTTGCCGTTTTTAAGGTGCTGGAGAGCCATTCCAATCTCGCTCAGACTGACGTCCGGGATATCATCGGAATAATGTCGGATAAGACTCGCTCTTGGATCGTTACTCACACTTGCGTGCGGCTCCAACGATGACGTGTACAGCTGCCCATAGAACCTCTCAATCTCACTCAAAATCTCAGGTGCCCCGGAAACGATGCTGCCACATTCGGTGTTCAGCCTTGACAGTTGGCTGTTTCTGGCAGACAGATCTCTGGCAAAGACTTTGGAGCCTTGGTTCCGCTCGATCGCTTCTTCAATACGAGCTGTATTGAAGTTGCGTAAGTCCCGCCGCATGCATTTGGAGATCTGTCTGTTCAGTTGCCTGTATGCTGTCAAATCTGTTGAAGAATGTAGCTTTATCTCCCGTCTAACAGCCATGAGATTAAGAGTGTGATCGGAGAGTTTTTGTGTTCTTCTGCG